GAATTCGGTCTGTCTGGATAAAAGAATAAAAACGTTTATAATCAACATTGACGGACATCGTACTAATGAGCTGTTTTGAGTTTTGACTTACAGTAAACTAGAATAGATTCAATAGACAGATATCAAACATAATTAGTTTCTTATTTAGGGATTTATTACTTGGGGATATTATGGCTTGAATAAAATAAATCCATCTTTAAATATTTTAATCTTTAAACTTAGCATGACTCAAAATGCACTTCAGTATAGTATCAACAGTCAGCAAAAAGCATTTGTCATGAATACTAGTCTTTAAGTTAAGTATAAATGTTCAAACTGAAAGACATTAAATTGTAAGAAAAGTGACTAAAAGTGATGAATATTTTTTATTTAAGAAGATTGTCGCTCCTTTAAAGCCTTTTTGCCATCTGCCCATGTACTTTGTCTAACTTAGCTGACTTTAACTAGTTATTATTAACTGGTTATCTTAACAAGTGTGTCAACAAGCAAAGGAAATAATCATGTAAGTCATTTTGAAATTCCCACAAACAACAGGAAATTGATGCTTTTAACTCTCTTGCAATCTAATAAGTCATGAGTCATAATATATAAAGTTCAGACTTTAAACTCCAGAATAGGAGTATAAAGACTTTATAAAGTCTTACTAAACTGAATTTTATAGCTTTAAATACAATAAAAGTCTTGTTCCATATTACTCATCGGCTTAAGACTATCTGTATTAGTTTCTTTGGTGACTTTACCACATTCCTCACAATAAGTATCTAAATAAAACACCAGCCCCAGCCCGCATTTCATTTTGCATTCCTGGCGGCAATTTGACTTTAAGCGATTGCCATAGACGCCCTTCATAGTCCCTCCGCTCATTTTGGATACATAATTTCGCTATCTACCTGGGGAATCGGGTGAAGCAGTGGAGGTGGTATAGGTGTTCCCAACACGCAATTGCTGGCACACGCACAGCCCACCTGGAGAGTTACCCGTTTTAACCCAAATTTCCCGGTCGCTGTTCCGAGCAAAGTGACAAACAGACTGATCCGCCGCACAATGGAACCCAGTTATCGACGGACAGATGTTCCCCACATGGGCCCCAGGTTTGTCTGGTTTGAGGTGCCAGGCTCAACAAGTCTGGGTACTATTCGAGAACCTCCTTGTTTCCCACACACCTGGCCCCGTGGCCCATCATCTATATGGGAGCCACGTGTCGTCAGGCCCTGGTTTTCCAGTATCCTATCAATTTTTAATGCAGCACAGAGAGCACGCACTCCCACGCTTCCCGGGATTAGTGGCCACTGCATGGTAATTATCTGTGATGAGTCCTTTCGCAGAGCTCCGTCCAAGGCGGACGGGCACGAAGACGGCTAAATTATTGATTGTCAATCTAGAGTTGACGGCGTGCACTATATATATGGGATTGTGGTTCAACTTAAGATGTCCCCATGACACCTAGATACCACACACTAATGGATTTCTAAAGTTGACATGGTGATAAAAATATACAAAGAATCACTGAAGCAAGAAAGTGCATTCTTTAGGCAGAAGATGAACTTCTGACTGACTTAAAGAGGCTTATCATTTGATACGTATTAGCATAAACTTACTACACATTATGCATTTCTTTTGTAATAAAGTTGCAAGGTTACAATTTTTTACATCAATTAATGTACATCTTAATCTGAAAGTTAAAGTTGATAAGTATTCTGTTCATTTATTGATTTCTTATACCTATTATCGCTTTTAAAACTTAAGGATAAATATAAACAATGGAAATATTCAAGTTAAATCACCGCAAAGCAATCAATAAAACGTTCAATGTTTGCAAAAGCAAACTAACTAACACACATATGTATACATATAAGCCATTCGATTAGTCGCTTGTTGAAATTTCCACGGAACTTAAGAATTCTGAACTTCTAATTAGCCCCGCCCCCTGGACAGGGATTTGTTTTTCATAGGGAGCAACGGTTATGGATATTTCCGTCGTGAAAAAAAACTAATCGAGAGTTGTGAAAATGGGTGGCCGACGGGGCAATGTGGGAAGCATTGACCTTGATTGCACATTTCCATTCAGAAACGCTCGCTTCCTCAACGGTCGTGGCATTTAGAGAGTATGAATGCAGTCTAAATAATTTATGCGACTTTTATGGAGGGACCCAAGTCCCCTTTTCCCTCACCATTACGCCCGTCCGAACCTGAACCTTAACCCAGTCTCTATTTAATTCGCACGTGGGTGTAGCTCCCGCCCGGCCAATCCCTTTATAGTTCCTGCTGCTCGTGCTCTAATTGCGCCAAATCAATTGAAATTGATGCTCCAACATTCAATTGCATTGATTGCCTTCCAGTCGCCGTTGCCCGAGTGCCTGAGCAAGTGTATCTCGAGTGATTCGTATCTGCCTCTCGCCGGTGCACAATGGAAGCGTTCTCTTCGAGAATTACTTTGCTTGTATATATGTTAGTTTTCATTTCCATATTTCTCTGAAATTAGCTTATCTCGCTTCGCCTGTCTTATTAATTATTCTGGAAAAATGGATTTGATTTTAATTTGTTTGATATTTGATACTCAACTGTTAGTTAACCAACAAGTGTGAAATGAACTGATAACTTTTCATTATTCACAGACTTATATTTGTGGTCATAATTGGATTATACTTATATAAAATATAAAATAAGGAACGGAAATTCTAAAAGTAAAGTGTTTGTATAATAATCAGGTATTAGTTCAGGTTTTATTTTTACCTTTTCCACCTGAAATATTTAATCCCTTGACCCTCAACTGATTTAGGTCCATACTCAAACTTCTAGTTCTTTGCCGGTTAAGTAGCTCAAGGTTCATTAGCTTATAATTTTCTGGCGTGTGACTATCCCCCTTTTTTATTTAAAATAGATTTAATGGTCCATAAATAGATAACGAATAATATTACACAGTCGATGGGAATGAAGAACATCAAGTGTAATCGGAAATTATAGAGGTTACTATAATTATGCATAATTCATGTATCGTTCATCCGTAATGACTTCTGTTAGTGCTTGTTCAACGTCAACTCTACTACGTATTACATGTTAGTTTTTGGTTATTTTTGGCATTACTAGCTGGTTTCAGAGAGAGTTTTTGGGCATATTTGGATTACGGTTCCATCGCTGATTAGAATCACATAATGTTTGAGGCCAAAAGAACGGAACACGAAGCGATGCGATTAGCGAAAAGCTAAAATTTACCCTTGAAACCCTAAATAATGGGGCAATTGATGAAGTATATTTTCAATGTGCCAGTTAATATCTGCTTTTGTGTTTTTTTTGTTTTTGTTCTTAATTAACATCCCATACAGACTTGACCAGCTGCAAAATACTTAAAGTCACATTTACGCTTAAACCTATAAACTTTTCGGCTTAGTCACATACGATCAACAAATGGAATGACCTATAGAGACCGGCGATCGGCACACAAATCGTTCGTTTGTTTATTATTCATGAATGGACTCTTATTATTCGCAATTAGCATACGGTTAAGCGACGTTAGTAGGGTATAACAGTGATCGTGTAAGACTTTATATCTTATAACTAATAACTATGGGTTTTTAACAACTGTAATTAATCGGTAAATGGAGTATGAAAGTCTAACTTGTATTTTATATTATTTCAACTCAAATACGGTTTCTTACTCTATATATTTCATTTCTCTTGTGAAAAGTTTTCAACACTAAATCAAGATTAAAATAGGTATTGAATGTATTACATTTTAGTGAATCATATCATATATATTCTTCAGTTCTTTTATTTGTTTTTTGTTGGGTAAAGCATTCACAGTTCGTTGTGATGATCTCAACAATATTTCACTTTTCGCCGGGTACTTGTGCACTCGCAACTTTTCTCATCTGGCTTTTGTGTTTGTTTTTTTGTTTACGAGCGAGTCCGACTCCGACTCTGCCCCATTCCCGGGTGACTCACATCAGGCAAATCGTTGCTTTGAATTTATTTGCCTCTCTTTTGTTTGCTCCCCAGTGTAATTGCTTTTATTAATTTTCAATCATTACTGCGCGCCTTCCTTCCGAGCATCCGGTTGCAAATGGATTATGAAATGTTATGCGGCAACTTCGCCCGCTATGGGATAAATTACGTATACGCCATGTTGCAGTCCTTGCAGGCTACTCGAACCATTCAAGGCCAACATCCTGCTGGGGAGGGAGGGAGGTAGGGAGGGCGTATTTGCGTTTAATAACTATTACAACAGCAGTGACAGCTGCTAATGGACACAGCCACATACACACCCATGGATGGCACCGCCAATCAGCTCACCACCCCTCGTGTGACAATTAGCATGTGAACGCATCAAATTTTTAATAGTCGAGTCAAGACCAAAACCAAGACCGCGACCAAGCCCAAGTTCATTTGCTTTGGAAACATTCCCTCCAGCTGGGCGCCACACAATCCTTTCCCACATCCAGTGTATGGCCAGTTTGTGTCCTTCTGGGCCACCAGCTGGTCGCATTTAAAAAGCTTTACAAACGTCATTAAAAATTCAACAGAGAAATCTAGAAAAGACGAAACTTTTTCCCCCGCCGGCGATGACTCGTTCATTTGAATGCTTACTGAATCACCACCATATCCCCTAAATCTTCTCTTCCTCCAACAGCCATCGGCGGTTCGACAAGGCCGCCACATGGAGCAGGCTGGCGTCCGCTCAGTCCGCTCACTAGTCCACGGACCGCAGTCACAGTTGGAGCCGGAACCGAAGAACCGGAGGAACTGCCTCGGATGCCGGCAGGCGAATGAGAGCAGCTGGCCACATCAGATTAGATAGACGGAAACCAGCCAAGGACACACATACCGAGTGGCTCCCTCATAATGGGCACAAAAACCCAACCACAATTGGCCAAAGGTAAGTTTACCAACGAATTATGAAATCAGAGTTACCTTTTGGATTTAGTGATGTAGGATTAAAATAAGTTAGGTTTTGATTAAGTTAACAATCGATGCAGACTAATGGCATTCCAGTCGTATACAGATCTATTAATTATAATGGAAATTATTTAATTCTGTTTAATATCCATTCCATATTTTTCATCAATAAATTCCTTAATGGTTTTTCGCCTTTCCCTCTCCCCGGGTTCCAGATCAATATATAACTTAGTCTTCTGATAAGCAACAACGTTCGTATAGCAATGATGCTCGTACCTAAAGTCCGTGCCAAAATAGGGACTACTGGGAAATCCTTTTAGATCCTTGGTCTTGGGCTTGGAGATTTCTAGATTGGGCAAGACGGAGGGAACAGGCTTTGGATTGGGTATAGAAATCATCTGTAGAGGATTTTGTGCTGGAACTGAAACAGGTTTTGAAACTGAAATGAGTTCTTCATGAGTCAATAATATACTCTGACGTCGAAGTCTTGCAGGAGGCTGCGACACAGGAATACGAGAACTATCAGGTATATGTTTTGGAATCGATGAGGGATGGTTTCGATCTTGAGTTTTCAAAGGCATTGTCGGCTTGACCAAATTTATGGGTTTAGTTGAGGAATTTAGATTTTTTTTGGTTCGAACTTCCAGCAGTTTCTTAGCAGCATCCGGATATCCTTCCCTTAAAGCCTCCTTTTCTTCCGGGGTGGTGTAACCCCCGGCCAGGCTAAAGTTCCATCGGGATTTGCGTCCTGGTGCAGCTATTGCATACACAAAGGTTTGATTGCCTCTTTGGGGAACAACCGACTTTTTGGACTTTATGAAATTCTCTTTTGGTTTGATATTAAAGTTCTTAAAGTCTCCCTGCCCCGATCGTGTGACACTCAAGGTCTTCTTTGGTTGTTCTAGATCAGATTTCCCTATTAGTTTCATGGGCTGATTTTCGGGCGGCCTAACTGCTAAAGCCAGAGGTACAGGATTGTCCTCCAACAGAGTCCTTTTTGGGTTTGTTGGCCTTACAGCCGTGTTGGAACTTTTATCCGCAGCCTTGCGACAAAGCAAGCGATGACCTTTGATTAAGTGCGGATTGGCTGCAATGGCCATCTGCATGGATGTGGTTCGAAAGAAGATCACTATGGCATAGTTTAGTGAGTCCACGCCATTCTTCACACAAACGCGCTCCAGGTCCCCAAAGGCGCTGAAGTAGTTGAAGATGTCGCGATGTGTCAGAGACTGATTCAAGCTGGGCACATACATCCGGCGATCGTTCTCCGGCTCCGGTGGATACTGACCCAGTGCTGGAGCCGGTTGATAGGGTATGAATTTCCTCTGCATTTCCTGTAAGCGAGCTGCAAGGATTGGTTACATATCATATGCGATAAACAACCCATTTTCCTGACTCACCAGATTCTGCTGCAAATGCTCTTTTCATATCCGGTGGCAAGGAGAAATCTTCCGCCATTTTCTGCTTCTTAGCGGGAGAAGGCCTATCATCGTCTTCAGGTGGCGGGAGACCCGGTAGCTCCTGTGTTAAAGAAGTCACCACCAGAGTTTCGAGGGAGGCCCAAGAGTTCCACATTTTGTTCAGTATTATTTTATTTTAATAATAAAGTCGATATGAAAATCAGTTGACAGTTTAATCAGATTGATAACTCAAGTGCTACTTGTTTCCTGTCTGAAGTAAAAATTATTCTTGATTGAAAACTTTTCCTTTGAGTTTCATATGCAGTTCCATTCATATATTTTATTGCTTAAAGCCGTGTATAAATTAAAACAAATTCTAACTTTAAAAGCAATCATTGCATACTTTTTTCACTTTTATATTCTTGGAGATTAACGAGTAAAAATTGAATCTCAGTTTATGTAATCAAGGCTCTTTCATTCTCGTTTGGCAGAGATTGACGCGTAACCACTAACTTTGATCCCTGTTGCACAGCCTTAGCGCAACAGTCTACGGTTGCCCAATGTAAATCCGATCCAGTGTTGCAAATTGATTTCCCTGAAAGCCTCTGACATTTCAGATTGGAGGCAAAAACCCATTTGCCTTTCGCCCACCTATTTTTTGGGGTGGCAAAAAGTTGAACAGTTGTTACCGATTTCGGGCAGATAGTGACCCAGTTCTGTGGCGTTGCTAAACCAATTGCAGCCAAAAGCGACGAGAAACTTTAACAAAAGCCGCCCGCTGCTCGATTTTGGCCCTGACACTATTCCACAAAGGTACCGTTAACCACTTGGCCAAGAATGCCTCTGTGTGTGTGTGTGCGTGCGGGGTGTGTATGCGTGGTGTGCCTTGAGCTTGGCCAAAAGAGCGGCACTTCGATTTATTACGCGCCTCGTTTCGACCGCTCAATGAATGAAGTGAATGAATGCGAATTGTGACCATTTGGGTGTATGGGTGCGAATGAGTGCCACCGTGTTTTGTTTACAAGTGAGTGAGTGTGAGTTTGGTTACAGTAAAACTTTAGTATGACAAACTGCTATGGCATAAGGGCTTGAATTCGGTCTCCATTCGTTGCAGTATTCAAGAACTATACTATTTTAATAAATCATAGTACTGGGCTTAGTTAACTTAAGAACATTTTCTATATTTCTAATATAAGGACAAACTAAATTGTATTTGTGAATAATTAATCAGTTATTTCTTTTTAATATTTATTTATTTATTTGAGTTAGTTAAAGCTGTAGAAGCTCTACTGTAGTTTAGGGTGAACCAAAATACAGGTAAAGGCAAATAGCAACAATGTGCTTCAGTTGAATGTAATTATTTCCTTTATGTGAACATTATTGGGCCATGATTTTGCTAGTACTAATTTTTTTTTTGCTCTTTTATTATGAAGCTCTTAGCTTAATTACCGTTTTGTCGGTAAAATGGATGAATTGTGTATACTATATATGACCACCTGTTGAAATCATCAAAGGAATTCCTGGTATGCAAATTCCCTTTTTAGCCACAGAAACCGCAATAAAGATTTTTCCATGATCTATCCCGGACTTTATTTGGTGGGAATTCGCTTCGTCAGCTTTTGGCTCGCTGATTGAGTTTGCATTGCTGTTTGTTTCCCGGCACAAAGGAGAAAATGGAATCAATGTGTTCTCGGGGTGTGATTACCGCCCCACTCGGCCCCCTCCCACCGCACCGGCGAGCAATCATTCATTAACCCATATGCGCCACCTCTTCTTTGAGCGCCAGCCAAAATAAATACAATTTTCTCCCCCGCTCTGACATTGACATTGCTGCTCATTTGAATGGAAAGAGAGGACGCAAGAGGGCAGTTCTCCCTCGCTCGCTCCTCATTGTTTCGTTCACGTGCACTGTACTGCCCAGCGGTGGAGAAAGTGAGACGGAGGGAAATGCGGAGAGAGTGCTTGCCGACGTTCTCTTTCCTTTCCTTTCATTTCATTTCTTTTACTTTTCTTTTTTTTGGGGGGGGGTGTGACTTAAGAAAATTTGCTCATTTTTATGCTTCACAAACTTGAGGAAATTGCAACAGAGACTTTTGGGGGCTAGTCGAATGGGGAAGTGCTCTACAAATGAACTCAAATAAAAGTATAAAATGAAAACACTATACATTTTATTTACATTTAAATAATATAAGCTTCGAGTACAAGTTCAGCAAAAGGTAATTACTTACATGACTTTACAGAAAGCAACAGTCTAGAGTCTAGACTTTTGAAGTGAATTGTTTATCGCGATCTTACTATTGAATGATTTGTAAGACTTGGAACAAATAATGTATTAACTTTAAAGTTTATTTTTGAAAACAACAAAACATAAATTTTAATAAATCAATTATAATAAAAACAAGAAAGGAAGCTTACTTTGGGAAACCGAAATTTCTATATTCTGGCAGAGAATATCCATCATAGCTCAGTCAAAAAAGCATTAATTTTAATTCCGAAAGCTTTCCTGCATTATTTTTTATAAGGTTTATAAATCTGAATACCAATTTTAATTTTAATTTAAAAAATAAATAATTTTTGCTCGGACATCGCTAGATCGAATCGCCTTTTGATGCTGATCAGGAATATATATAATTTATACGGTCGAAAATGAATCCTTCACTGTTTTGAAAGATTTTGGACTATAATACTTATAATACCCTGCAAGGGAATAAAAATAGTTCAATATTGAAGTACTTCTACTATTTAAAAAAATCTTTTTTAATGACCATTTTTAAAGATGGTTGCATTATAATAAAATTGAAGTTCATAAATTACAAATCATTAATTAACAGATGTTCAGTCTAACGAAGGATCATTGTTACCAATTTCCTTGTGTAATTATTCCAACTATTTGTTGGTAGTGGCTAACTAACTTTAGTTTTCTAGGGAAAATGTCTCTCTTTTAAAACCAAACTACAAAATCACAGTAAATGTTCATCACCCGTTAAGCTTTGACCCCAGAGATCAGAGATATTACTTTGATAATTACCTCTGCGACCTTTGAAACTGGGAGCTTTTTCCAATCCAAGTTTGCTCTCTTCCGAGCGTAGCTTTCTTCTCTGTACTCTCTCTTTCTTTATATCTCTCTTAATGTTTAAATGTTGTTTGTTGCCAAGCTAATGGAACGGCGCACCCGGTTGCCTTGGCAGCGCGGTCGGAATTTTGTTGTCATCATCGCCCTGCGTTGGCTTCGCTGCCGCCGCCTGTAGTTTCGCTCGCCGAATGCTCTCGCCTTTGCTGTCTCAGCCGCAGTCGCTGTCGCTGCTTCAGTCGCAGCGGCGTCGCTCATTTTGGCCACAATTTCCTCGGCAGTTGGCTGTTTGGCTTGTTTGGCGCTTGCCGTTTTGCCGTTGGCCGTTTGTTTATCGCATTGCGTCGCCTTGGTCCAAATAAAATCCGTACTCCGCGGAAAAAACTCTCGAGTTGCAGTTGCGAAAAGTGTTTCCGCGTTTCCGAGAAAAGTTCCAAGGAAAATTATTGTGAAAAGTGCAACAAAATCGGCAAAGAGCAGCAGAACGCAAACAGTGCAAAATAAGTGCAAGAAATGTGCTAAAAATGTACGAAACTGGGCGAGAAGGAAAATAAGATGCCAAAGGGGAGAGAGAGAGTAAAAGAGGAGCGCAGATGATGATGCATTTGGCACCTGGCACTGAGACATGTACCCCCAGTGCCCCCTCCCCTCCCCACCCTGCGTTTCCCCGCCGTCTTTTCTGCATTCTCAGCATAATTATTGAGCCTTCATCGATTCTTTTGGCCTTTTTCTTGTAGTTAATTGTTTCTTGTGCCACCCCCTTGGCTGTTCCCTTGACCGCCCCATCGAAGGTGACGCATGCCAGCAGGGTGAAAAGGAAAAGCCAAAGGGAAAAGCAAAAACAACTCGACAAAACTGAAACAAATTGAGAGCAAGGAGCATATTTACATTCACATGCATGACTCACGTTCGCCGCAGGACACCGGAAGGTGGAGCGAGGGCAAAACAAGCCAAGAGAGAGCTTAGCCGGCTTTGTTGTTGGCCAAGAGACGAAGAGTGTGTACTCAAAGGAGAGAGCGAACTTACCAGAAAGAGAGAGCGTGCCAATCAGCTGTGACTACACAAGGTCCTTGAATCACAAAAAAAAAAATACACCGAATCGAAATCAGGCGGATATTTGGATCCAAAGTTTTGCCCGATTCCCTTTATTGTTTTCCCCAAAAGGCAAAAAAAGTTTCTTCTCAACTTTTCGCCTCAATTTCAGTTTCAGTTTCTCTCCGTTTTCCTGTTTCACCGTTATGCCGCTCTCCGTGGCCTTGACAACAGTTTTGACATTGACTCTGCCTGAACACACACCCCAAACCCCCATTGTGGGGGAACAGAGAGAGAAGAAGTGTGGGTGAAGGAGAAGAGAGAAATGTGCTTAGTGTGCTTGCAGCTTCCTTTACCCATTGTTGCCTTTGTGTGGCTTTCGCCTTGGCGGTGGCAAAAACACCTGTTGCACGCGGAATGTTTGCACAAAGGCGACACCAGCAGCTCAGAGCCATTAGAAACTATATATGGAGGTGTTTACTGCAGATTTAGTCAACGGAGCGAAAAGAGCATAAATGTAAACAAGGAATGCCATACGCTTCCAGGGATATCATAAACTTTAAACTTTTTAAAGTGTGAAAACAATATTTACCCCTTACTCAAAGAGCATTTAAGTCCCTTGAGTCGATATAGTGCTTAGTGATAATAATATAATAATAAAAAGAAACCTTTCTTTAATGAGAAGGTATTATTTTGAGCTTATCTAACTACTTAAGCTATTAAATTGATTAGAGACTTTTCCAAACTTTCCTATCAATCGATCAAAGTGAAATCGGAATGGAATATATCAACAATTATAAAATTTTCCCCATTTTTATTGTTCTTACATCAGCTTGATCAATTGCATAGGGTTTTCAAGGAAAATGATTTACAATTTCCGTAAATACGGAAGCAGAAGCCATTTCAAAATAGCCTTACTTTTTTAGTAACCCTTTTTAAATGGGGTTTCAATTAAAGGTTCTTCTAATTGTTTAAGATGTGGAATGCTTCTGAGTAATTTATAAGCCAAAGAAATAAGTAAAAAGCAAACAACGTTCATACTTACCTCAACAAGTAACTCATCATACCCCCCGAAAGCGTCGTTCCCCCGGGGTATTTGAAATCAAAGCAGCAAATTTGTTTATTTATTTATTGCCCAGACGGATGCGTGCAAACATTTTCAGTTTGATGAGAATCGTTCCCAGCTGTCGTTGGGGGAGGAGTTTCAAGGAGGTGGAGGGGGTGGAAAAGCAGGCGGCGGCAGTCTATCAAAATGATGGATTGCGCAGTTTCGTGGGGGGGCAGCAACAACAACAGCCTTGAGAAAAGTTTGCTTTGTGCCGATGGGTTTTCAATTGCATTTTAATCTCCCGAGGGGGTTGGCAACACGTTAAACTTTCGCTTTTTTCCGCACAGCATGGGTAATGTGGAGCCCAGATATCTGGTTAGTTGCAGCTACAGCCTGAGCTGGTCATGATTGGGGGCAGGAGATGCAGCGAGGCCGCCCGTCGGCTGCGCCAGCGTCCCGATACCCTGGAGCTGGCAGTGCTAGATGGCCAGTCTCCCGTGGAGATAGAGCAACAAGAGGACGATGATCGAATCCCATCAGTGGATCCAGGAATAGGAGATGAATCTGAAGGAGTAGCTCCAGTAGCTCCAGCCCCGGCAGCCAGCAGGAGGACTCGCTGGTTTCAGTTTGCCAGGTCCTCGAAGAATCGTAGGAAACGTCTCCACTGCGAGGAAGATGAGGAAGAGCCCGACCTACGAGAGCAGGGTCGAAGGACCTCCGACAAAGAGATCCACCGGAGAGAATGCCTTGCTCAACCGGAAGGCATGAACATTGGCAGCTCCACGCAGACCATTGCCACGCCCCTGATGATAGGCGATAGCTTCTATAGCCTGGCCCAGGGAGCAGCTAATCCATCAGTCAGTAGATCCGATGACCAGGAGCAGTACAAGCAGAGGGATCCCTCGGAGGCCTCCGAGACCAAGTCCACCCGCAGTCTGAGGCGTCTTTCCCAGATCAGAAGACGTCGTAGCTCCTACTACTTTTCGGGTAATACACGAAGGACCTTACTTTATTGACAATAGAACAGTATAATATTGAAAAAACTAGTTTTAAATCGCAGTGTTGCATCTTAAGTTGCATTAAAGATAATAATAAAGTTGGTCATAAGATTTATTGGTAAAATCGTAAAACAAAAGAATAAATATGTCCTCAGATCATAAGCTAGCTTCCATATACTTTCCTTTCGAAATGTATAAATATTATTTGAACCCTAATAATAATATATTTATTTAAACCTTACAGAAAACGAACGCAGAATCCGCGCCAACGACAAAGAATTCAATGCGCAGTTCAAATATCACGTAAGAGTCCAAATATTAACTTTAAACTTTTATTAATCCAAGAATTCATATTTACAGAACAATTACATCAAGACCTCCAAGTATTCGCTGTTCACATTTCTGCCCTTCAATCTTCTGGAGCAGTTCCAACGATTGGCCAACTTTTATTTCCTCTGCCTTTTGGTCCTGCAGCTGATACCCGCGATCTCCTCCCTCACACCTGTGACCACAGCCATTCCCCTGATAGGGGTGCTAACGCTTACCGCCGTTAAGGATGCCTACGATGATATAGTAAATATATAAAATATATAATAAACAAATCACAATAAATATTCTTTCTTTCAGCAACGTCATCTCTCCGACTCGCAGGTTAACAACCGGAAGTCGAAGACACTTCGCAATGGAAAACTGGTGGACGCCAAGTGGTCAGAGGTTCAGGTGGGAGACGTCATCCGATTGGACAACAATCAATTCGTGGCAGCAGACATCCTGCTGTTGTCCACCTCGGAGCCCAATGGCCTTTGTTTCATTGAGACAGCGGAACTGGATGGTGAGACGAATCTCAAGGCAAAGCAATGCCTTACCGAGACCATCGAGCTGGGCGACCGACACGATCTTCTCTGGAACTTTAACGGCGAGATCCTCTGTGAGAGACCCAACAACCTGCTGAACAAGTTCGATGGCACCTTGATATGGCGGAATCAGAGGTTTGCTCTGGACAACGAGAAAATCCTGTTAAGAGGCTGTGTCCTTAGGAATACACAGTGGTGCTATGGCGTGGTCGTTTTTGCCGGAGTGGATACCAAGCTAATGCAGAATTCTGGAAAGACTCAGTTCAAAAGCACTGGCGTGGATCGTCTGCTCAACTTTATTATCATTGGGGTGAGTTGTTCATATAATTAAAATAAGTAATATATGATTAAAGGTGATTTATCTCCTCTTTAGATTGTCCTGTTTCTGGTCTCGATATGTGCTTTCTTCGCAATTGGATGTGCCATCTGGGAGGGCCTGATTGGCCAGCATTTCCAGAGGTATTTGCCATGGGAGCACATCATACCCAAGGATTACATACCAACGGGGGCGACAGTCATCGGATTGCTGGTTTTCTTCTCGTATGCCATAGTCTTAAACACAGTTGTGCCAATCTCTCTCTACGTTTCAGTAGAGGTATGTAATAGATTAATAGATCCCAAGTGCCATGATCTTTCATAAACTAAATGGTTATCCCTTGCAGGTCATACGCTTTGTACAGTCGTTCCTCATCAACTGGGATGAGGAGATGTACTATGCCACCACCAATACCTATGCCAAAGCCCGCACCACAACGCTCAACGAGGAGCTGGGCCAAATCCAGTACATCTTCTCGGACAAAACGGGCACCCTCACCCAGAACATAATGACGTTTAACAAGTGCAGCATCAATGGACGCACCTATGGCGATGTAATTGACCTCCGGACCGGCGAGCTCATCGAGATAACCGAGGTGAGTTCACGGATTTGTTAAGGGTTTCGGGTCTCCTAAGTGAAGTGAATTAACCTCTAACTTGGTTGAGGGAGTTTTGTTTTGTGTGTCGTCTCGGTGTCCGTTTCTTGCACTGACTGCCCAGGGAAGATGGTGAGCCATGGTGAGCCCTGTGGCCCTCCTTCCACTCCCCCATTGTGTGTGTGTGTGTGTGTGTTTAGTGTGCGTCTAGCAATGTGCAAACCGAACAAAAAAAAAAGAAAAACAACAACTCACATTACTCGTTATAGCAGCAAACAATTTTCCAAAATAGCAACAACACCAGCAGCAGCAACAACAACGTTCCCAGAGCCGCAGGTGGAGCTGCGACAGCGCCACCTGCAGCCCCAGCCCCACCCCCCATCATCCTAGTGCACACGGCCGAGGTCCATGCCAAAAAGAGTTCCATTGTGGTCACCTCCGACGGGGACACACAGGTGTCCAGCAATCCAATCTCATCTCCAACGCTGGACCCCTCCGAACGGCGGCAGGGACGCAAACATGTGCGCTACTCGGCGTCCAGTAGAAACCAGGAGGATGACCCTGGTGGCCTGTCACCTAGACTGTCGGCAGGTGCAGCCGGAGGCTCTGGCGAAAGCCTAAGTCCACCCAATGGCAGCGAGAGCCGGAGAAGCAGCGGCAGCGGGGGATTGGGTGGCTGCTTCAAGCGAACAGGACAGATGCAACGCCAATTGTCCCGCACGAGCAGCTGTGACAAAGTAAAGATCTTGCATGACTCCGAACAGACAGAACCAAACACCACGCACAACCAACCACAGCACCATCGCAAGCGGCTGGTGAAGATCCGGTTCAGAAAATCCCCATCAACAGTCACGCTGAGTGTCCCCATCGGTCAGCTCGAGCACCATGACCAAGAGGGGAGCCATTGTCCACACTGCATCCAAATGACTCGAGCACCCAGCACCACCACCAGCACCACCAACACTACCACCACCAGCACCACAATGCCACCACCACCACATTCGCAACCAATTGGAGTTCGTCGCCTCAGAGAGTGCACGTATGCATGTTCTGCATGTTCTATTCACAACCCCAAATTGTAGTGTCTAGCTATGGTTATTATACGTATACTTAGTGTGTGTACATATGTTCTGAAGATGATTCGACCAAGCTACATTTGAAGTGCCCTTTGGCCATCACTATTCACATTCCATTTAATAGAAATTACTCATACGTTTAGCTTTTTGTAGAGTATTCAAAATCATTATTACCTTCATTATACCCTTGCAGGGTATTATAATTTCAGTCAGAAGTTTGCAACGCAGTGAAGGAGGCACCTCCGACTATATAAAGTATATATATTCTTGATCAGGATCAACAGCCGAGTCGATCTAGCCATGTCCGTCTGTCCGTCTGTCCGTCTGTCCGTCTGTCCGTCTGTCCGTCTGTCCTTCTGTCCGTCTGTCCGTCTGTCCGTCTGTCCGTCTGTCCGTCTGTCCGTCTGTCCGTTTCTACGCAAACTAGTCTCTCAGTTTTGAAGCTATCTGAATGAAACTTTGTAGTTAGCCTTCTATATACTCTCACTCGTATATATGTCGGAACGGGCCGGATCGGACGACTATATCATATAGCTGCCATAGGAATGATCGGAAAATTTTTACAAAAAAATTTTAAACTTTTTCAGTTTTCAATAGAATTGGATCAAATTTGAGATATAGCCATTCTACTATACTCTACAATTTTGCATAAAATTTTATGAAAATCGGACTACTATATCATATAGCTCCCATAGGAACGATCGAGAAATTAATACAATTAAATTTATAACTTTTTCAGTTTTCAGCTGATTTTCATCAAATTTGAGGTGTAGCCGTTTTATATAAGTCTTAAATTTTGTGGCAAATTTCATAAAAATCGGACGACTATATCATATAGGTGCCATACAAACGATCGATTGATGTAAAGAAAAATTCAAATCTGTGAATGTAAAACTGCAAATATAATATGTATAGGTGAATGAATTGAAAGCAGGTATTACTTCATTGTTTTTTAACACAAATATATATAATTTATATTGTATGGATTCCTATTCATAGAAGTTCTATCTGCAAGGGTATATAAACTTCGGCGTGCCGAAGTTAGCTTCCTTTCTTGTTTTGTGTTGTTTTAAAGGTATTTCATGAACTTAGTTTAATTTCAATATGAGAAAGTGATGGTTCTTATTAAATTACAATAGTATTATTTAAAAACCGTATTGTAAATACATTTTTATATATCAATTTGTTTTAGTATATAAAGTAAATAAAGACAATATTATATAACTGAAAAATAGAGTAAATAATAAAAATACTTACAAAATTATATTTATAGAGCTTGCACATTGTATATAATAATAAAATTAATGTTTATAAATATAGAAAAATATCATTAGGCTTGAGTATCGCCAACACTTCTCTTTTAACACAACAGACACATTACTAATCTATGGTTTTTTATACTTTGGGTCTAATTCAATATAACTAACAATGCTATTGCTTAATATCGTATACAGCCGAGCTCTGCTTTACGTACAGATAACTGAATATATAACAACAGTTCCTGTGCTGTGTCCTTGCTCAATCATTTTAATCAAATCACTTTCCTTTAGGCCGTCCAAAGCGTTGACTTCTCCGCCAATCCGCATCATGAGAGCGACTTCCGGTGGTATGATCGCACGCTGCTGGATGCAGTCCGGTCGGATGAGGAGCACTCCCATGTGTTCTTCCGGCTGCTCGCCCTGTGCCACACGGTCATGGCCGAGACGGTGGACGGACGGCTGGAGTATCAGGCTCAGAGCCCGGATGAGGCTGCCCTCGTCTCGGCGGCCCGCAACTTTGGCTTTGTCTTTCGCACACGAACACCGAATAGTATTACCATTGAGGTGATGGGTCGAACGGAGGTAAGTGTTGCTTGATTGGGCTTAAAAAATCGGTATTAAATGTATACATTACAGGATTATGAGCTCCTGAACATCCTTGACTTCAACAACGTCCGCAAGCGGATGTCTGTGATCCTGCGGCGTGGTGACTCCGTGGTGCTCTATTGCAAAGGAGCAGACAATGTGATATACGATCGCCTGCATGGCGGACAGGAAGACCTAAAGGCTCGCACCCAGGATCACCTCAATGTGGGTTTACTCATGAGTCGTCCAGATGTCACTCACTAATGGTATTTTATGTCTACAGAAATTTGCCGGAGAAGGTTTGCGCACCTTAGTCCTGGCAGAACGTCGTCTGACGGAGCAGTACTACAATGACTGGCGGAGCCGGCAACAGGAGGCTGCGCTTTCCATGGATTCGCGGGAGCAGAAGCTGAACGCAATGTACGAGGAAATCGAGAGCGATATGCAACTGGTGGGCGTAACTGCCATCGAGGACAAGCTCCAGGATGGTGTGCCCAAGTCCATAGCAAATCTGCAAAATGCAGGCATTAAGATTTGGGTACTGACTGGTGACAAGCAGGGTGAGTATCGAAAGAAGAAACCTAGTTTAAATTTATTTAAAACTATTAATTATAATTATTAATCTCAGAAACTGCCATCAACATTGGTTACTCCTGTCAGCTGCTCACTGATGAGCTAGCAGATGTCTTTATTGTGGACGGCAACTCCGTGGAGGAGGTGGAAAACAACTCAGACAGTTCAAGGAGTCCATCAAAATATACAATCGATTTCGACCCGGTGGTGAGTGACAAAATATTTATACAACTCTTGTTAAGACCAAAGATTAGTAACCAAATAACGAGCTGTTGCTAATTCTACTATGCTTTTTGTTACTTTGCCAGGAATTGAGAGCTTTGACCGTATGAATAGCGACATGAACATGGATCCGCTTAGCGTAACCATGACGCAAACTTCGGCCTTCATGCAGGAGTCGAATTTTCCACCCACACCGCCTCCACCGCCTGCCATTTCGGTGGTTACGTTTAGGTGGGATGACAAAATTAAGGATAATAAGGGCGGACCGGACAGGTAGAGGGCAATCCTTTAAAACTCAATACCTTTAGCTATACAAATTGAACGAATTTCCAAGCATATATTTCTAGCTAAAAGTGAAACTTAACCCCGAGTAGACGAGCTAGAAATTCTTTTTCTATAGCAAATTCTACTTCAGCTAACTGTCGTAAACTTATCTCTACTCTCTGTTGTATCTAAAATGTGCTATTTTTTATCAATTTTTTCTTTATTTTGTGTTTATTATAATGGTAACTAAAAATTAATGGCTAACTTGAGTCACATAATTGCTCAATTCTATATTTTTTACGAACAAGGAATAGTTTTACATTTAAATAATGTTTTGCATCAAATGTTTATTTATTTCGGTTACATTGTTTAACAAACTAGAAAAGTGTTAGTAGTTAGTAGGGACCCTTTTTAGTACTACCCACCAAAGGATGTAACCCTCTATTGGTGCTTGTTCCGCCCGTCAAGTAAACTATATTCAATTATATTTTCGTCCAACCAAAACAAAAACACAAAGCATCTGTTTGAGTTCTGTCTGTATGTGCCGCTCTCATGTCTTGTACAAAAATGGAAAATGCAGTTATCAATATTAAACAAGAACCACAAAACAAAACAGTCACTATCCAAGTATTATTCATTAACAAATAGCTTTTCTTGTTCGTTGTCTCTCATTGCAAGTAGTCGCCAGACTAAATCTTTGTACATATAACTCATTGAGCTCTACACTTTACACTGCTTAATACCATTCTCATTTGTTAATGTTGAGAAAACAACTCTATACTTCGGTATTAACATGAGTTTTTGTATCTCCAAAACAGTGCTGAATGCAATAATTTGTTTGGTGATGAAAAGAAGAGCGAGGACGGAGGTGCCGCCTCCATTGTGGTGGACGAGAACACCGGCTTTGCCCTGGTGGTCAACGGTCACTCCCTGGTGCACTGCCTTTCGCCGGAGTTGGAGACTAAGTGAGTTGTTGTGTCTGTTAATTAAGAGTGGCAATCATTAATGGAGTTCCTTAGGTTTCTGGACATCGCTTCCCAGTGCAAGGCGGTGATATGCTGCCGGGTAACGCCATTGCAAAAGGCGCTGGTCGTCGAGCTAATCAAGCGTGCCAAAAATGCCGTCACATTGGCCATTGGCGATGGTGCCAATGATGTTTCTATGATCAAGGGTGAGACTGAAGATACTTTGCATAATATATATATAAACCTTATTCCTTATTTCTTATTTCGATAGCTGCCCACATTGGTGTTGGCATTTCCGGTCAGGAGGGTCTGCAGGCTGTCCTATCCAGTGACTATGCCATTGCCCAGTTTCGTTACCTCGAGCGATTGCTGCTGGTCCATGGTCGCTGGTCCTACTATAGAATGTGCAAGTTTCTACGCTACTTTTTCTACAAGAACTTTGCATTTACCTTGTGCCATTGCTGGTATTCGCTATTCTGCGGCTTCAGCGCTCAGGTGGGTTCATTTACAAGGATTAATAACATTTTGGCACAACTAATTTCACTCTTAATTGCAGACGGTGTTTGATCCCATGTTTATATCGGTGTACAATTTGTTTTACACATCACTGCCTGTGTTGGCGCTGGGCGTCTTTGAGCAGGATGTGTCAGACAAGAACAGTGTGGAATTTCCACGACTTTATACACCAGGCCTGAAGAGCGAACTGTTTAACATACGAGAGTTCATCTACAGTGTCCTGCACGGTGCCTTTACCTCGCTCATCCTATTCCTTATACCTTACGGAGTCTATAGAGACGGTGTCTCTCACGATGGCTATATCTTGAGCGATCACATGACTTTAGGTGCAGTGGTGGCCACCATCCTTATAGTGGATAACACAGCACAGGTTGGTGAATGTGCTTAACTATTTTTAATCCTTTTAACTAATCATCTTTATATATGTATAGATATCTCTTTACACCTCTTATTGGACCGTGGTCAATCATGTGACCATTTGGGGCAGTTTAATTTGGTATTTTGTGCTGGATTATTTCTACAACTATGTCATTGGTGGTCCCTATGTGGGCTCCTTAACTCAGGCCATGAAGGATTTAAGTTTCTGGGTTACCATGCTAATAACAGTGATGGTGTTGGTAGCACCTGTCTTGGCCTACAAGTTCTATCTGCTGGATGTGCATCCAAGCCTATCGGACAAGGTAAATTTCATTAAAATTGTAGTCTTTTACCTAGCTAAGAATATGTTTCTTACAGATCCGTCAAAAATCCCTGAAGAAGATCCATTCTAGAGCTTCTAGCAGTGTCCGTCGTACGGCTTCATCGCGCCGCGGACGTCGCTCTGTGCGCTCGGGTTACGCTTTTGCACATCAGGTTGGATATTGCCTTCACATAAAATTTCCTACAAATTCCAATAACACTTTTGTTCCCCTTTCTAGGAGGGTTTTGGCCGGCTTATTACATCTGGCAAAATCATGCACAAGCTGCCGCAGGACTTTGCTTTCCCCCTAGGTCTGGGCACCAAGAAAACGCAGGCGCTACACAACAACCTGAACTCGGCCGATGGCCCGTCCTCAAAGACCAACAATGTATCCGGCCACCACATGACCAATAACAACACGAATCTGCGACACAATCAGAACCAGAATCACTCCTCCATGGCGGACATCACTGGCGATGGACGGGGCAGTGCAGGAGATGGTGGAAGGAGCAGTGTCGGCACGGATGACCTGAGTCCTCGGGCTCCCTGCCAGGACCTCGACACGATCAATCTCTAAGCTTTAGCGTGTTCCGCAAACAAACACCAAACAAAAGTCATTATAAAGAATTTGAATCAACGAACGTTAGGCTAAGTTTTAACATTTAATCAGCAGTGAATTAAGAGGAAAATGTGTGATTGATTTTGTTTCTGGTATGAATGTGTGCAGTCTTTAAAACCTAAAACAAGTATTATGCAGAATCTTTGGCTATTTACCGATTTTGTCCACCCCTTAAAAGTGTACTTATTTAAAGTCTAGGTTTAGGTTTATCAGTAATTATCTTCAAAGTATTCTTACAAAGGGAAATCATCATCCAAAGACATTATGTTACAATTCACATCACCAAAACTAGGACTATCTTAAGTCACAACTTTAAACGATCTTTCATAGCCTCAAAGAAAGCACAAAATCTCATCGTTGGCTGCATTTAAGAGTGTGAACCCCCTGAATGGCTGAGTGAATGGGTTTAACTACATTATGGAATAATATTGAATAGGGATTGAAATGTCATTGAGAAACTGAAAAGCGTACTTAATTGCTTAATGTCGTGCTGTGTGTGTGCTTAGCTAATAAAACTTAGAGTAGCTTACCTACCCAAAAGCTGAACGAAATCTCGTCTTAAGGTCCATAGCTATATACTATATAACCCCTACACACAATCGACACACACACCCTACAAATAGACGAGTCCACACTTCTGTGTTCCTAATTAGAGTTGTAGAAGTAAAGCCTGCATATGCCTTAGAGAGTCCCTAGAATTAAGTTTTTTAGTAGGGTTCCTTTAGGTGGGATTCCCATAATTTTTGGTTGTTACTGAGGGGAGTTACATTCGAATTAGCGGGCTGTGGGTTCTAAAAGTAACAAAAGGTCAAAAGTGATTTATTGTTAGAGCGAGCTGGGGTTGAGAAAAGTACTTGAATGTGGCTTTTTAATTTAATTAATATAGGAAATAACTTTTAATACATTCGGGTACATATTTTTGCATGACAAGTAACCCAACTATTGCAAATTGTTGGCATCAACCTTAAATTTAGTAAGCAAATTGTTGGTATACAAAATGGGCAGTTAAAAGGTGAACGATTAAACCAAATAAAGAGAAACCATTTTATATTTATCTAAATTTTAGTCAAGGAAATACAAGAATTAATTTAGTACATTTTAAATTATTTAATAAATGCGAAATATTTTCAAACCCTTGAATGTTTTAATTACTAACACAATCGTGTCTTGTTTCATAATTTAAATAGAGTTCACGTTCATGCCAAACAATTGGCTTTCATTTTTTTAACTCTTTTAATGGCTAATACGAATAATTAACCTTCAATTATTCGTACATTTTTTTGCGATAACAGCATTCTGCTTAATCTCTTTTGTATCTCTGGCCTTTGTCCAATTGCGCTCAATTTGCGTAACAAATTACATTTAATTTATTAAAAGAAAAGTTAAAAGCACGCCCCCAAACCGAACCCGTGACTTGTTCACGCCTCATTAGCCGGACATTAAGATTATGCATTTTTATGAACTTTTCGGTCAAATTTAACACACGACTTGGCCGGAACTTTGTAATTAAATCTGTTACAATCAAATTACTCTTGGCCTTTTGTCGGCGGCGACGCGTTTCCTTGTCCTGATTTTTTCCCCTGTTTTTCCGCGTTATCGGAACGGAAAACTTGAAGATGCTGCCGGGCGTTGGAATTAAGTCAACTCAATGTCGCTTAAATATCCACTTTGGAAAGAGAGAAGCAGATAAAGAAGATGGAGCACAACAACAGAAAATCTAAGGGGAAAAAAATGTGATGCCATTTATTTTAATTTGCGAGTCAAAATGTCGAGACTTAAAGTGAGCAATGGAGTGCGGCCGAAATGCTCCACAAGCTCGGCTGGACACAAGCAAAGATTGAAAGAGAAATGGCCAAAAAGCCAGCCGCAATGACGCAATTTTTGGGCCAGAACTCCCATTTGGCCGGTTTTAGGGTCAAACAATTTAATTGACTGACTTAGAACCGATACACAAAATGCGCACAAAAATCATCATAAATTGGTCAATTTTATTTAGGTAACAACAAACAAACTTCTCTAAACCTAATCAGGGAAAATCGTTCTGCGAGTTGTTCAAAATCCTAACATGCAGATAAATAACTTCGAATGCCAAAAGGGATCATCACAAATGGTTCCCTTGGGGCAAGTAGAATACCTAAGATATGGCCATAAAACTAAATTGATGTCTAGAAGTATATTCACAGCCAAAAGGTCAAGTGAACGAGTAGAGCATAAAATCATAAAAGGTATTAGGTTACTTTGCTATTTTATGAGATTCCTTATTTAATGCATCACTCCATGGATAATTTAAATAACAAAATAATTTAAATATTGCAAAAGATATTACATATCTTTACTCTTCTTCGTTTGCGGCCATTTTAAAGCATTCACCTGGTGAACCCGACAGTAGCATTACATCAATGTGTGGGGGCAGGAAATGGGATAAGATGGGACGAGGTGGATTCGTCGTCATCAGTCTGAAAGTTCTCGCTGGGCTACTTTTGGTATGTTGAGTAATGTGAGTGCTTCCGCTTCCGCCTGTCTCGGGTCTCGGGTCTCACTGTATCTGTGTCTGCGAGTGTGTATGTGTGGCCACTTCCTGCTGCTTTCATTTTCCCTTTGCCGTTTTTTCGCTGCGTTTTTCTTTTATTTCACACAAAAAAATTTCAAAATACTTAATACTCAATTTGGCCCACAGACCCACACAGCACAGCACATACTACATACCATACATAGCACAAGTGGCGCAGGAGTTGGATGCTGAGATGGAGGTGGAGATGGAGATGGAGGTGGAGCACATGTGTGTGTGTTGTGCTAACTGCTCACCACTTGGCCGCATTTCCTTCCCGGCTCTGTCTGCGCGGCAACTGCTGGATAAAAGCATCTTTGGCGGGCTGAATAACTTGTTGGATCCCCGGGTACTGTAGCAAACACTTGCCGACCAAATGGTGCTTGAATGTATTTCACTTTGATTTGCTTTTATTTTTAAAGAAATCCATTCGACGCTGCTTGTGCGGTCTGTGCTTGGCATAAATCTGCAGGGATATACGGGCATCCTTTTCGAATGAGCTGAGGACCCAGGGCTCAGCTCAGTATTCAGAACTCGAGGCTTTTATGCCCGGCACTTAACCGCTTAATTACTCATTATGTACGGGCTTATCCAGCCGTTTAATCAGTCAGTCATTCAGTCAGTGAATGCAAGCGAAAGGTAGCGTCGCAATTTAATGAATAATTGAGCCAAAGCGGCAATAAAACATTTATTAACAATCTCGGCTTACAGCCAGGCTGCCCTCAAGTGCATTTTAACATTGAATCCGGCCGTTCGTCGTAAACAAATATGGAAAATTTAAGGGCATATTTCAACGAGTATAAACATTTTCCTATCATAAACAGTGGCACCACCGAACATGCTCCGTGATCCATGCATTGAAGAGCTGGAAGCTGGTTGTAAAATAATGAAACCCTTCGGCAGTTAAACGCTTCAGCGGTAAGCGATGCGTGCCATCGACCTACATTATACAATGTAAACATTTAATTTAAACCAGTGAATACCCGAAGACCAAAAGCCTCTCAGCAAGTTAACTCATTTTGTATTTAAATGACCTCTTATAGCCGAACTTCGATTTTAAAGGTAATAAAAACAATTTTGTGGACATGATTCTGGAAATGCAAAAAGGCAACCATTAGCAGTTAGCCAATGCTAATGATTCAAGGTTCTTTCCAATCATTAATTTGACCAAATTAATCATGACTAGGACGTTTGACATTTCAATCCTCCAACCAAATCGTGTGACCTTCGAGGTGGCCGCACCACTGTTACCTTGTTACCCTATTTGTCAGAATCGGCGACTCACCGTGACCTCCTCCGAGACACGTGAGATACATCAAAAACAAAAAAAAAAAAAGGGCAAATCGAAGTGACACCCGTAACAGGTTCGACGTGATGTCAACAAAAGCCAAGAAGCAATATCAACCTAAGCGAAAACTCCTTGACACTCACACACGTACTGCATGCGGGCGAACTTTCATTAGTGGAAACGTCAAAGTTCGTGAAGAAGCAACCCGAGCACTCGCTCACGGACACGTCCTGTTTGAAGGACCCCAGCTCCCAAGCCATCGGTAGGTTAATAGGAAACTAAAGTTCGGGGGACCGAAAGTATTGTAATTGCATTTGCATATGACATTCCGTTCAGCTTTAAGAACTCTTTGAAGGCAGGTGAAATGTAATTTCAGCTTCTGGAAAACGGAATAATTTCGGGGGTAGCAAAAAATAAACAGATCCCTTTGGATATTATCAACTACGAATATCTCTCAGTTTATCTCTATATATCTCTCAACTGTCGCAGCCCGAACTTGCTTTATTGTGTTTGACCGTTCAACAAAGTTAAGTTAATAAAATGATTTTAAACTTTTTGCTGCCATGGATACGACACTTTCTATTATGCATTAGGGCAACAAAATTGTTTTCAACCTTTTGCCTTCGTTGATTTTTTCCTTTGCCTTTTTTTCTGCTGCTTACAACTTGTCCATGATGCAACTTTCAGTTTGTAGGGAAAAACAGAGCGGATCTAGGGGAAAGTGGCGTTGGGAGAAAGGGTCGTGGGCCGGGCCAAGACAGATACCGTTGCTGACAGCTGCTTAAGAGCGAAATTCGATTTCGCATTCAAGGGCGTTGTCCACTTCAAGCTTTCGCTTCTGCATTTTCCCCTGCCTTTGTTTTTTGCCGGACCGAGAGGAAAATTATTTAAGCTTGTAATGAACCAAACACCAAAGCTGAAGTGGAAAAAAAAAACTCAAGCCATGAAATTTATAGCAAACAACAAGGAAGCTGAAAAAATACAGGCAAAGTCAGCGGCACTCGGAAAAATTATGATCTTAATTAAAGTGTTGGCAAATATTTGAACATTGAAAGGTAGAGAAAAAATGCAGGCAGAGTGTAAGTCACTTTGAAAAAATAGGATTTCTATTAAACTTTTATTTAAAGTTAGTAATTACAGGACTTTAAATGTGGGTTTTCCTTGTGTTTAATTTAAATGAATAAATCATTTGAGTTGAGTTAAACTTAATGAACGGCTAATGTGCCATGTGTTTGCTCTTTAATTCCCATGGAAACGTTATTCTTTAAAGAATCTATTGTTTTAAACCGTCTCTATTCTCTCTAAATTTGTTTTCTTTGAAGAAGTTAAAATCAATATTTCATTTTATTCCACGACTTTATATTCTAATTACTCATTATTATTCCCTTCCATGCTTATTTACTATTATTTTCAGTGTCGAGGAGGCAGCAGCAAAAAAATGCTTAAAAAACAGCAAAGTAAGACCATTTGAAAAAGAGATAAAACTAAAAACTGTGAAAAAAGCGAATCGTATTTTATGGAAAAACTTTGCATTGTGCATAAAGCGGGAGTGACTCCATTTTGGCCATTTGAATAGTGCTCTTACAAAATTGGTGAATAGCTTAAATGCCACTTGAATGCGCCAGGGCCGCAATCATTTTCGCTAATTGAATGTTAATTAATAAAATGCAAAATATGTGCTCAAAAAAAGGAGGGAAAAGGGGAATAATGAGTGGATAAAGTCAAAGTGGGATACTTGTTGACTGAATGGCCATTTGCAGAGCCCGCTGGCGGTGGATTTTCCATGGAGAAGCCCAGCGAATGCTGCGAAGCGATAAAGTTTTAATTTCCATTTGATGACTGTTAGTGAAGCGGCGCAAAAATATTTTTCTATATATTTATTTCCTCGTTTTTTTATTTCCAGAGCTCTGAATGTGTGCTTGTAAAATATGTTTTAATTAAAGGCAAAGTTTTATGCGTTTATGGTCTTTTTGTACGCTGATTGCCCCAAAGCCGGACAAAATCAGAACGGCAAACAAACAAATATAAATTTGTTGAGCAAAAACCGAAAAATTCCCCAAAGTGCTGCTCATCGGGGGGCGATGGCGATGGTGATGGCAATGGCATATGCATGAAAAACGCTGCCAAAGTACCAATTCCACTCACTCACAACTTGCAATCCCTCCCGGCTGGTGCTCTGCTCCTGGCAGATGAGTCAAAGTAAGCCGGAAATTCCCCAATGCTCGAAACTACAAATAGACATTTAATTTTTTGCCATTTCATATAGAGAATGGTCCCAGTTGAGAGCCAGAGTGGGTGGGTGGCCTTCTGTTTTCGTTGCAATTCGGCTTTGGTGCCACACAAATGACCCAGAAATTTTGTTAAGCGACAAACAAACAGGAATTAATTTTGTGTGTTTGCAGCTCAAAGTTTGTCCCTGCACAAATATGACAAACTGTTGATAACAATTTAGACTCACAGTGGCCTTAGTCAATCGAATTAAAGTGAAATGCCTTTAGATTGTGGAATAAGTGTTTAAATTATCAATTATTTATTGTTTTGCTATTTTTCTTGTTTAAATGTATTGTCTAGATTCAATGCAATAATTTAGAAAAATAAAAGAAAATAATATCACTACAATAATTGGTAAATAAAAAGAAATGAAATTAACTTTTTAAAGTTTATATACCTTTGCAGTTTGGAATAGAATAATGAGAGCTCAATTGATATTGGTTTATAACTATTTTTTGGCCAAATCAAAGTTTAAAAATCTCATAACTAAAAACAAAAAAACAAGGATCGGAAATGATTAATTCAAAAATTACATGCTTTTGAGTAAAAATTATAATAAAACAGAAGGCTGTGAAAATAGCACTGAGTTTCGTATTTGTATATTTATTCCATACTTTAAGCATTCAAATTAAAAATGTTTTAAAACTAATTTAATTCTTCTTTTTTTACGGTCTTGACCCAATTTTGCGGCCAAATTAAATTTCCTTTCCTGTTTTCGGCCCCAGCTGTCATTCTTCAAGATGCTGTTCAAGACCTGTGCAAGACATTTAAAGCTAGTCAATATACTATATGGCTCCAATCGATGCACACTGCTTCCCATGATTGTAAGGTCATATGGCGATTTCAGTGGCAGCGAGGACACGGGCATAAAGGGCGAACTGGCGAAGATAATTCCCGAGAAGAGAGAACTCTTTCTGTCTATAAAAAATTCCCATGGGAAGAAGACGATCGGACAGATTAGTGTCAACAGCGTGATAGGTGGCATGCGGGTCTTCCGCTTCTTGTTTGCGATACCTCCAAGTGGGTTTAGTTTTTTAGTTTTAGATTTAAGTATTTACTGGAATCTCTTATATTTTTCCCCCTAGTCTAGACAAGGACGAGGGTATTTCCTATCGCGGCCTCCCGTTAAAGACTGTGTGTGAAGTATTGCCAAGGGTCCTTGAGGGTACGAAGGAGGGAACACCCGAGGGCTGCTTTTTCCTGCTAACCACGGGTAGGATTCCCACCAAGGAGGAGGCAGAAGAGGTGACCAATCAGTGGATGAAGCGGAGCAATGTGCCTCGCTACTGCCTGCGGCTGTTGGACTCGATGGACAAGAAGATTCATCCAATGGCGCAGCTTTCCGCAGCTGTTGCCTGCCTCAATCCGGGTAGCAAGTTTGTGGAGGCTTACAATAAAGGTGCCAAGCGGGCGGACTACTGGAAGTACATATACGAGGATGCAATGAACCTGTGCGCCTATCTGCCCACGGTGGCAGCAATCATCTACCAGAACACATTCAAGGATGGTGAAGGAGCACGCGACATTGACAAGAGTCAGGATTGGTCCGCAAACTATGGCCGCATGTTGGGAGTGGAGCACGATGACTTTGCGGATCTGATGCGCCTTTATTTGGTCATTCATGCGGATCACGAAGGCGGCAATGTCTCCGCTCATGCCTCCCACTTGGTGGGATCTGCTCTAAGCGATCCCTATCTATGCTTCTCGGCATGCATGTGCGGCCTGGCCGGTATCCTTCATGGACTGGCCAACCAGGAAGTGCTTGTCTGGCTGACCAAGATACGAAAGGATATCGGTGATGAGCCCACGGATGATCAACTAAAGCAGTTTATTGACGACACCCTCAAAGCCGGTCGGGTAATGTATATATATTCAATATCCCAATTTAACTTGTGAATTCATTATCCCATTTAAAGGTTATTCCTGGCTATGGGCACGCCGTTCTGCGGGTCACCGATCCCCGATTTGTGCTGCAGAACGAGTTCGCGATGAAGCACTGCAAGGACGATCCCGGTGTTAAACTGGTAACCCGACTATGGAAAATCGTGCCAGAGGTACTGAAGAAGTTGGGCAAAGTGGCCAATCCCTATCCCAATGTGGATGCCCATTCGGGTGTCCTGCTGCAACACTATAACTTCAAAGAGATGCAGTACTATACGGTTCTATTTGGCGTTTCCCGGGCACTGGGTGTGCTCTCGCAGCTGATCTGGGCGAGGGCCCTGGGGGCACCTATTGAGAGGCCCAAGTCCATATCCTCTTTAGATCTTTGTAAGGCTATTCAAGCAGCAGATGAAAAGGAAAACAAGTGCTGAAGGCTAAATGTTGAATCCAAATTACGATATAAAGACATAAATCATAAAAATCCAAAAACATCAAGTCATAAATGAAATAGGTAAATCCTTACCTATACTTAGTGGATTTAAACTTCAAAGTTTTGTCTCTTAATATTAAATTTATTAGTTTCTATGAATATATTCTAAGAAAATGATGCCTATTTAATGTTCTGAGTGTATGATTAACTCAGGAGAGTGAGAATACCATTTTTTTATATGGCATTAACATATGTATGCATGTGCCTGGCATGTGGTAATTGCTTTGGCTGACTGACATTTGTCGGTTTGTCTCCGAGTTGCTTTGATAAGCGCCTGTTTGTGTTCTGTGGAACCCCAAGAGAGTATTAATTATGGCGTGAGCAGATATAAATCGCATTTCTATAGCTTTGATGTTGGCTCTTAGCTGAAGCGTGTCCTGTTTCCAGTTCCCCGACCGCCAAAAGGGTCGCCAGCGAGCCCATGTTCGAGTGTATCATAAATCAGTCGCGTAATCCAAGTGGCTTGCAATTAAAATTATTAATTAAGGCATTCTCGTCTAAAGTTACACATCGACGATGGTTTTAATGGAGCGCGTAGTACTGAATAGTTTGCCACGTGTAAGCTGTAAATTGAATTTCGAGGCGAGCATTCATCAGCGATACATATCAATCTGGACAAATCAACAGTATTAATGTGTGCTTGCAATTCCCCCGCCACGAATTTCGCCAGGATGTACTTGTGATTATTGTAATTTCTATAAAAGCATCCCATCAACTGATTGATTTCTGTGTTTAAGCTTTCTCCCCTTGTTTGGCTTTGGTTTTTCGCACTCTGATTACGATTGTATTCCCCAGTTTTTGTTGTATGTAGTATAGGCATCAGTCGTTATTTCAATAAGAGATATTTTATTGTTATTTTTATTATTCCACTCTCTATGGTCCTTGGGGTCGGCTAAGCCGGGTCCCCAGTTTCCACTCACTTGAATTTTAATTTTTTTCAATCCTATACTATATAGTATTTGCCCCACATAACAAGTGACCTAGTGAGGGATATTCAGTAATGAAAATCTAAAGGGGGAAAGCTAAGTGGAAAGTGGGAATAGTAGGGATAATGAGATGTATAGTTCTACAATACAATATACATTTATTTAGTACATTTTATTAACTCAAGGTGAGCTCTTAAATAACTTAAAAAGGTAACGCAATTGCCCGATAATCGAATCTTCACATTACAGCTGCTGCTCACTGATATGAATAAATTTCCCGATTTATTTTACGAGTTTAATAATGCGCTCATGAAGCACTTTTTCCCCCTGGTTCTTAACTTATTATTAATTGCTTTGAGAGCATGAGAGGTTTTCGATGAAAGTGGAGGCGGGAGGGAATGTAAATGATAAAAGTTGAAATATGTTTACACAAGTTGGTGGCAAAAATAAGCTGCAAAACGTTTTAATAAAAGTATTTACTATTTTCCCGCACAGTTATTTTATTGTTGAGGGAAATCAGAAAAACTTTTTTTATTGCAATTCACTGCGCTGCTTTCCCGGCATGTGCGAGTGTGTTTGTGAGCTCCCTTCTATCTTTTTTTTTGTATGTATTTTTTCAAACATAATTTCAAATTGTTTTGGGCGGGCAAAATGCAGAGGCACGCTCTCGCCTCCTCGGATCCTGCTCCTGTGTCCTTGGCTGCCGGAAAGGGAAAGCGAGGCACACACACAAATTTACCCACTTGAGCACGCACACACCCATCTCGGTGGGTGGTGTGTGCCAGCGTGAGTGTGCGAATAAAACACATCCGCATCAACCATGTTCCTGTCCATGTGGCCGCTGCTGTCCCGCCGCTTGGTCAGACCAAAAAAAAAAAAGGGAAAATGAAAAAAGGAGCTAGTTTCGAGAAGCCGAAGTTGATATACCCTTGAAGTTTGCAATTGAATTAAAAGGATCGAATCGGAAATCAATCATTTCTCCATTTCTTGTTTTATATAAACATTTTTTTGACTAATCGTAGTTTTAAAACTCATGTCTAACTCAAAAATTCATAAATTTAAATTCGGAAAGCTCTCCTATGTTAGTTTTTTATCGGTTTATAAATCTGCATACTCAATTAAAAATTCAAATTTTTGCCATTTTTTGACACTTTTAACAATGTAACCCCTTAGAAAATTTTGACTTCGAAAAATGTTCAAAAAATTAACTTTCATCCGGATAGCGGTCGATCGATTCAGCTGTTGATGCTGATCAAGAATATATACATAATGTGGGGTCGGAAATGATTCCTTCATAACGTAAAAAACTTCTAACTGAAATTATAATACACCCTGCATAGGAAGGGTAAAACAAAGCACAAAAAAGATTTAAATATAAAAGTAACGACTATGAGGTACTTGGTATATAAATATCTATCTTAAAAATTATTTTTAAATTGTTTTATTCATATTTAATGTTAATTAAACACTTTTGTTTTCAATAAACTTTTTTAATTAAAAGTTGTCAATAAGATTTTAGAAAAAAAATTTCTGTGAATAAAACTTAGTTAAGAAATTAATAGATAATTATAGTTTCCTCAAAAGTATATCAATTTCTACTTGATTTCCATAAATTTAAGAGCAATACCTTTATAGAACTTAATATACCCATTTAATTCTTACTGCCGTTCATAATAAAACAATAGATGCTTCCAAGGGTGTGCGTGTATGGCAGTAGTAGTCACACATATAAAATGTTCGCACATATGCCAAGCTGCTTTCAGCCATTTGCTGCAATATTAAAACAAAAGTAATGTGAAAGTGCTTTTCAGCCACCCACAACGTCCGCTCGCTGGGGGAAAAAGCAAAACCGTAGATTAAAAATTGTGGAAAATTGTGTCTGGCATGCAACTATGTGGGGATATTTTAAAAACTGACCAAGCTATGGCAATGGAGTTCAATGGGTGTAATGCAACTAACTGAGCAAAGTATTGCATTAAAGATTTTTTGAAATCGTGCAGTAACCATAAGGTATTTATGTAAAATATTTAAGATGGGTTTTAACAAAGGAAATGTGAGAAAAGAATTTGGGAAATTCACAAGAGTACTAAAGAATAAGCTATAATAAAGGAAGAATTGAGCCGTTTGAAAACGATTGTTTCTTAAAAAGAAGTTTTTAGTTAAAATCTTAGAATACTCCATGGGTAGTTATTGAAGTTATGTTCAAATTATTTAACACAGTTTTATTGTTTATATTTTAAGTGGCTTTTATATATATATTCACCGAAAGCCACTTTAGAGATGATGCTGTGAATTTTGGCTTAATGCTTGTCTCTTCGTTCCACTCTCACTTCATTAACTTCCGGGTAAAGTTCAAAATGTCAACTTGAGTGACTGCTTCTCTTATTTCCCAGAGGAGCTTCTTTTTTGAGCCCCATATCTCCGTAATCACTTCCATTGTCAGGGAACGTATACGGGGATTCACAATTTGCGGGATGTGAATTTTTTCCTTTGGCCAGAAAGGAAGCGGAGGGGGATGTGCAATAACTTCCTTATAGACCAAAAACTTTATGGCTGCGACAGCAGCTGCACTCGAGTCGCTATCAAACCCCAGTTTGCAGTCCCTCCGGCCTTGGATGTTATTGTATTATAATGGTCTCTGGCGCGGACCGAGGCTGCTCCGGGATCTGCGTACGTTCTATTTTTTAAGATATGCAAAATAAGTTGCAGTCGCTGTCGACGAAAGCAACTCGCAGGCAAACAACACATCAGACATTGTGGAAAATAACTATAGACTAAAGAGTGTGTGTATGCTTGTGTTTGGCAGAGTGAAAAGTTTGCCGGGAACGCAGGAAAATTACAGTTCTTCCTTTCTAAACAAAGACTGGTCCAAAGGAGCGCAAGGACAAAGCCACTGACTGAGTGGCAGTAACTGTTGGCTTCCATTTGACAGTTGCCAGGAAGTTTTTACGTCCGCTCGATACTCAAATAAATTGCACAAGGGCTTCCTCCAAACAGATCTCTTGCCACTTTTTTAAATATTTTTGTGCACTAATGACTTACATGATTTACTGAAGTCCTGTTGTGGTGCGGCTCCAATTAAACGAGGATAATTGAAATGTCCATTTGATTATTTATGGAACATGTGCCACGGTTAGTTGTACCATTTAATTGTTTAATTATTTCAATATGCCTTTCGTATTCATAGGCCCATCAAATGCAATGAACACGTGTTAAATTAAATCTGTTTTAATTACAGGTTAATTAAAACAATGCATTCTACAACCAGTTGAACAGATAAATATTTATATATTTCTGGCTAATGAGAGTTGATTCGCTGAGCTCAAAATTTGTACGCAATTAATGTTTATTTAATACTTCAAAATGTGTGTCATTTACATATATTACAAAATTTTATTACCCTTTTAGAAAGAACATATTTATTTCCGTTTTAGAATTTTTACTGAAAAAGTATAGTTTTATTCGGAAAATACACAAAATATACATCTAAACAGGTTAAAGTGCTCTTTAGACATAACTTCCTGAAAGTTTTTAATTCTTTTCTCTAACATTTTTCTGCTCTTGCACATCGCACAATTTTCTACATTTTCTCGTTTTCTCTAACGTTCACTATTTCATTTTCCAGTCGAAGAAATATTCGCACATAGTTTTACCTGGCGGAATGTGCTAAAAGTGCCGGCAGATAAAAATAATTGCGATTATATTCGCCATTTTTACGCTTAGCAACGCAGGGCAAACACATTCAGGAAAAAAGGGAAGATGACTCCACAGGGACGATGGGTTGTGAAAGGATATCTTCTGTTCCGGACAGGCATAAGATGGAGTGAATACCTCCAGCTGTGGGTTGTTTTGGCGGTTAGTTCCCAACGATCTCGCTTTGTGCGATTTGTTTTCAGTTTATTTCACCTCTTCCCCATCAAAGTGTGAAGCTTCAAGAGTTACTAACCAACTTTTATTAGCCCAAGCGTATAATTTCAGTTTAAGGCTTCCGAAACTAATAGGTAAAAACTGCCCTTTAGTGGGAGCAATTACATGTCAACTTAAATGCAACTGCCAAGAGCAAAATGCATAAATGAAGCATTGGAAAACAAGCATACACTTGAAAAATATTTTATATATATCATAAGACTAAAG